TAATATCTAAAATATATGAAGAATTACAACTCTGTGGCAATAAAACAGATAACCCAACTGAAAAATGAGTAAAGCACTGACTAGACTTTTTTTCTAAAAAAGACATACAAATGTCACTTGTGATTTTTTAAATACAGTGTATTTTAGATACATGTATTTTATGTGTAATTCACTCTTCCTCCCATCTGGCAGTTCTGTACTGAGTGCTAGTGTCAAGTTGTTTACTGTAGTAGGCGTGGTCATGGAGGTAAAGTTGGTGGTGGTCCTGTCCTGGAGGGAATTACTCTGAATAGGATAGAGAGTGGCAGGCCATAACCAGATCCCCCATCCTAGCCTGAGACCCAGTAAGGTCAAGAGGAAGTAGTTCCTAGTCGCAGGGTTTTGCCTGCATGCTGCTTTGGATGGCAGCTTCCATGTATAGCTAAGAACAGAATAAAGCCACAGGTTTATTCAGAGACCTCAAGCTTCACAACTCGTCTTTAACATTTGTAATTATGATTGTGGCAACCCAATCTAGTTTTGATGCTGTTGTGTTTGGAGGTAGATCCCAGCCACTGATCAGAGCACTCAGATGGGTCATCTTCACCAAAAGTCCAGGGCTTCTTTCTGTCTCCACAGCACCCCCCAGCTCAGGGTAAAGTGCCCTAACCCTAGGGCTAGTGAGAACCACCTTCCCAATTCAGCTTTCTCCCCATCTGCAGGTCCATCTTCTCACTCAGCATGTGGGTATTTCTTAGAGGGTGAAGGGAGGTGATTTTTCAAACGGTTACCAAGAGCATGGAGAAAGTTAATTTACCTCTTAAAATTAGTTTTATATTCCTTTTACATTGATGAAATTCATTCTCTGATTTTTTGTGTAATGTTGAGAGATTCTCAGTTTGATTGAATAAGATCATAATCTCAGTTTTTTTAAAGCAAACACTTTCATGGAGCTTAAATGAAACAAGACCAGTTAAATGTTTTGAGATGGAACTTTTGTGGAAAACGCTGAATGTTGGAGGAGGATGATGCAATGAGTTCTCGGGACTGAGAGCCTCCCTTCCCTAGATACTTGAAATTATATTAGGGTAATTAGATTATAACTCAAACTTCTGAAAATCATTTAGAGATAGATAAGAAATTCATTTCACTGTATTGTACTGTAAATTGTAAATGAGATTCAAGATTAATTGTTTAATAGGTTGAAGTTTTAAATTGAAATTTCCTTCTATATTATTTTATATCTGTATGATTCACCATGAAGTTTGGTTTGAAACCATGGTTTCAGAAATACTGATATTATTATATTATTTTCATCTAAATTGAAGTTATTATTTTTTTAGAAAATTGGTCCTGGCCACTTCTTTGTATCTCTCAAATTGCCGTTTTCTTTGTCATTTTTAGAACTATTAATAGGTGGCTGATTGTATTGAGCCTGGGCATAGAATAAAATAAGTACAGTGGTCTTCCTTATCTGTGATTTTGCCTTCTGCATTTTTAGTTAGCCCCAGACAACCTTGATCCAAAAACATTAAATGGAAAATTCCAGAAATAAGCCATTTATAAGTTTTAAATTTCACGCTGCTCTAGGTAGCGTGGTGAAATCTCACACTGTCTCAGCCGGGACATGAATTATCTCTTATGCCTTGTGTGTCCATGCTGTCTGTCCTACCCACCCATGAGTCACATAGTAGTTATTTTGGTTATGAGATCCGAAAAGTATAGTATATATAAGGTTTAGTACTCTCCGTGGTTTCCGCCATCCACTTGGGGGTCTGCAGATAATGGGGGGACTACTATACAGTATTTTAGCATGATTGGAAAGCTAAAGCATAGTTCCTACTATTCTTGCCAGAAAATGGGCAAAAAATGTTCAATCCCATATTTTTATTATTAGGTCACACAACTTGTGAAGTAGCGACATGGACAGGAGATGGGGAAATAGTGGGTAGAAGAAGGCAGTTCCCCAGCAAAGGTCCCACCCTCAAGCCTGGAAACCTACAGCCCTTAATGGGAACAGGCATTCCTGTTTTTGCACCCACAAGCTGCCTTCTGGCCCACCACCACCCACTATACTGTACCCATATAAACCTGAGATCTCAGGCTTCAGAAGGAGACAAGGAGTTGAACAGAAGAGCAGAATGGCCTAGCAGAGAGAAGAGAAGGAGCATCTGAATGCTGAGAGGAGTTCATCTGGGGATGATCGGAGGGGAGATAGGTCACTGGACAGCCAAACTCAAGGGGAAGATCATCTTCTCACTCCATTCCCCTTGCGTCCCACTGAGAGCCACCTCCCTTACCCAGTAAAAGCCCCACATTCATCCTTCAAGTCCATGTGTGACCTGATTTTTCCTGGATGCTAGACAAGAGCTTGGGATACAGAAAGCTATCACACTGGCCCCTCTGCCTTTATGAAAAGGCAGAGGGTCCACTGAGCTTTCTAACACTTAAGCTGCCTATGGATGGCAAGGCTAAAAGAACACACTGTAACAAGCGACCACTTGGGCTTCAGGAGTCACAGACACACATCTCTGGACGCTGCGCTGGGGTTGAAGCCCAGGGGCACTCGTCCCAGCTCCTGCACCTGTGCATCTGTGGGCTCCCCTTCCCAGAAGGGGTTTAAGCATGCATTGCTGCCAAATAGACAAGTCACACTGCTGTGGCACGGCCTGCAAGGTAGGTGAGGGAACCCTCTTGTTTCAGTCGATGTATTTGATGAAAATAATGCTCTCCTGAGGAATGATCTTGTACATGGTGTGTGTGTGTGTGTGTGTGTATGCATGTACGTGTATGTGTGCGTGTACATGCATACACACACGTGCCATGACATTTAGTATGTGCATATGTATGTGAGGTCTTGTTTGAGCAATAGTGTCATTTAACTGGCTAATGGGAACAAGCAGCAATGCTCTTCTCTCTACAAGGCTCCTGTTTGTCTCTTTCTTGCAAGTGTTCCTCATTGCATGTTCTTTTCCTAAGAGCCAACAAGTCTTTTCAAATCTTGGAGACAATGAAAATTTCTCAAAACCATCTTGCTTGTGGTGTTTCAGAGACTCTTCCCTCGGTTGCTGCTGTAGTAAGTGAAATGTGTTGGTTTTGGCTCTGAGTCTCATGTGTAGGTTACCGAATGGCAGATTCTTAGCTCTGTGACTGCCATGGCTCAGCAAGCACCCTGAGCTGAAGATCGAGTGGTTTTAACTTACCTCCTGATGGTCTTGGTGAAACAGTCCTGGCACACTCGAGCCATTCATCCAACACATCCTTGAGGGACTCTCCTGTGCCTGGCATTGTCCTAGGTGTTTGGAATACATATGTGAAAGCCACAAATATGGCTGTGCTCTTGGAGTCTCTATCAGACTCCTTCATGACTTTCAGTTGCCCCACTTCCGGAATGAGAGGTCACTATTCCAGGCTATAGGAATGCATTCATTTGCTTGGCTTTTTTTTTTTTTTAAAGCTTCTTCTAATTTTGTATAATGTGACACCATTGCTATCCTCAGGGAATATGTGTGTGACAGAGATAGACAGAAGGGCAGGCAGACATATAAGCACTTTGCCACCAGCAGGCTGGCTTTATGCAATAATAAGGTAGGAGCAGTGACTCCAAGGGGAGGCAGGAGAAGGAAAGAGCGACTCTTCAACTGGGGTGGGATTTTTTGACAGAGGTGCTGCTTGGCTTGGCCTGTGGTCACTGAGAGTGCTTCGGGGGTGTGACAATGGGGCATGTGGGAATGGATGTAGCAGACGACGAGGTCTCCACCCTCTGCCTTTGCAGAGATGGGCAAGGCCGAGTGTTGGAAGGGCTTGAACACACACTGGAGTATTCTGTGAGAGCCAGTGAATTTCAGAGGATGGCAATGACACCACTTGCTTTCTGCCTTAGGAGGATAATGGATGGCCGTGTGTGGGATGCACTGGAGAGCGAGCTGGGTCGCAGGGAGACCAGCTGGATGATTTTCTTTAATTTATTTTTATTCATTCAACACACATTCATCTGGGGTTCCAGTGCTGGATGTTGCCAAACAGTTCAGGATGTCAGTAAGCATGGTTGTGGCAGTAGGAGTGGGAAGGCTGGGATGGATGTGAGAGACATTACAAAGGGGATGTGGGAGTGGCACCCCAGAAGAGCCTAGTTTAAGGTGTCAGTGGATGTGTGCACATGTGCGCAGGGGTTTTCTCAAGGGTGGCGGGCAGCTGGAAATTGAGGTCAGGTGCCTAAAGAACAACTCGTTCTGTAGGACCCCAGTTTGTGGTCAAATGCAGAGGTTTTTGAGAATCCCCAGTAATTTCTTAAACTCAGGCTGGGAGGTCATTCAGCCAGGGAACTGCACAAAGAGCGTTGCCGCTTGGGTCGAGGTGAATTTCTTAAAATAAATTTTCTAAGTGATCACCAGTTTTAGATGCCAGTTTAAGGAGCGTTAAACCACCTTCTAACTCATCTTTCAAGTTTGAAATGTATATTTTTGTTTCTTCATTCTCGGTGACTGAAAGAGACATATTAAGACAACTTTGGGGGCTGCGGGTGGCATCTCAGTCTCTTTTGCTGTTTCACTTGCTCTCTGCTTCACTCGTCAGTGGTGTAGAAAACTGCAGCAGTCTACCCTACACACAGACATCATCCCTCACAATGGCTGGATAATGCCAGATTTAATTCCAAACAGAGAAAACTGATTTCATTTATGTTTTGTGATAAGAGGTACAGAGAAAAACTGAAAGCAATATAATGACTTGTCTTGACAAAATGCTTCCGCTGCTCTGGAAGAGCCAACCCACTTCCCCTGGTTAAGGAGGGGTGTTGCACTTTAAACATGTGGTCGTTGTTATTCATTGTCTTTTTTTTTTTTTTTTATTTAAGGTAGGAAATGTTCTTTGGACTGAGTTAAATGCTGCTCAGCATAAAAGACCCGGTGGAACAAAGCCTGTGGATTGTGACTACTTGACATGCCCTGGGCTAATGAGAAGACAGAATGTCTCTAGTCGCAGCAGAACAAATACTCACAAAGGGTCTCCTTCCCTCCTAGGACTTCCTTCGCCGGGCATCTGGCTGGAATTCTTGTTGGACTAATGTACACTCAGGGGCCTCTGAAGAAAATCATGGAAGCATGTGCAGGTAGAGAATAAAACGCCTTTGGCATGACAACAAGTTAGAAGTTCATCTTAATTTTAATGTGATCAGAAACTACCCCAGGTTTGCCTGTAGTTCAACTCAGGAATTCCCTAACATGTTTTCCTTTTTAAACCACAAGGTAAAATACCAGTGCAGTTGCCTACATTGCTCCACAAAAAAGGCTGCAAAGTTAAATTGTGAGTCTGATACTTTCGTGGGGGACAAATATCTATATATTTATACCTTCAACCTAAATGCTACCCACAGAAAACCACAATTTCCTAAAAAATGCAGAGAACTAAAGTGCGTTTAAAATGATGCATTCTTCTAGAATATGCCATGAATTAATATGTGTGCAAGGCAAAGCTGAAAAAGAAAACAAAGCCTGGCTGGACTGAAGTGCAAGGCCAGTATTTTAAAGAATTCAGAATGATGACCGGGTCCTTGGTGGTTGAGCCATATATGCATGCATAGCCAAGCCAAGTCTGTTATTGCTTCAAGCTTAGCTCCTGGTTTTTCTTTTTTAATTTTGTTTTTTTTTTTCCCTTCAAATTGATACTCAATGAAAATATTTCATTTAGAAATACTTGCCATTTTTAGACCTCTTAATTTTAAATGCTGTACGGATTTTGACTTGTAAGAAAACTGGTTTGCAAACACTTGTTTTATAGAGTGAGTTCCAATATTTCATCTTTTATTCATGGGAAATCTTCTGAGACTATTTTGCCTTTTCTTGAATCATAAATAATTTGTTTCACAGTTTGTGCTGATGACTGGTATTCTTGAGAACCATATAATATTCATGATATTAGAAAGCTTTGCAGGCGCTGCTCTGGCACCTTTATTAGCAGGTTGTGTTCACTTTGGGTTGATTTTTACAGACTGTGTTGCATCTCAGCAGATTCTCATTTTCCTGCATTTGCTTATTAATGTGTTTCTACTGTTTGTACTTAGAGGAGGCAGTGGGAGCTTCATATATTGAAAATGTCCAGTTTCATTATATTTTCAATACAATTTAATACTCATTAGTACTGATAAAAGAGATGATTCTCAGGAGTTTAATGTCTTGTTTCTTTTTTCTGTGTGTTTTTGAAGTGGTTAGTAAAGCTTTGCAGACATGTTATGAAATTTAAGCAAGTGTTTTGCTTAATTTTTAAAGAGGATATTCCCCATAATTATAATATTTAAACTCTTAGTTTTAAAAGCCTTGAAAAAATAAGTGGAGACTTATTTTTATACCACTCTATTTTTAAAGCTATAAATAGGAAATTAAATAGGAAAATGAGAGCACTCAGTGCAATTTGCAAGTAGCCTGCAAACTCGGCCTTTTTTCTGCGAACTGAGAATTGAAGGACACGGGGAACCTTATGGAAAATGACCCAGCATGTAGAAGCTACTGTTTGATGCCTCCTGGAAAAGGAGCATCACCCTGAGGGTGTGCCCCTTGCCCCTCCCTCTCTCCCTTCATTCTGCTGTGCCAGTTGACTAAGTCGGCAGTCCTACTGCTCTCTATAGAGACAAGAAAGAGTAAAGTCCCCTAGGAAGTGTACGGAGTAGGCTCTCCTAACACCCTTGTTTGAGGAAGGTTCTCCATTTACCTGGCACATCTCTGCTTGTACAGAGGCATCAAAGCCAAGCCTGGGTACTTTGGCAGGCAAAGACTAAGAAATTTTAGTGAGTGTGAATTAGGGTTTCATTGTCTGCTCCCTACCCCCAAACACACAAACACACACACACACACACACACACACACACACACACACACACACTCACACACTCACTCTCTCTCTCTTTCTCTTCTCTCTCTCTCCCCCTCCTCCTCCTTCACTCCCTTTCCCCCCTCCCCCCATAGGGCTGGTCCCCAAACAAAAGAGAGTTTACCTTGGGCTTCTCCCAGAGAACTTCCTAATTACTGGAACAATTAGCACTTAAAGCTTTATGGCTGCCATTAAAATGTTTGTTTCTTTTATGTTTAGGCATTTTTTCCTCCAATGCTGGTTACCCAGGACAGCAATACTACTTTAATAGTTCAGGTAAGCATTTTATTTAATTTAATAAATTTTAACTTCTTTTTAAAATTATAGTATTCAGCTCTACAGAGTACCTTAGGATACTAGTTTATGCTGCAGTAGAGTAGTTCACATGTTAGGTAACTGTGCCTCTAACATGCCTGGAAGCTAGATAGAGGGGTAACCTAGGGAGCACATTTGTGGGGGTTGGTAGGGAAGGAGGTAACTCAGGCATAAAAACATGGTACAATTTGTATAAGGTCTCTGATATGTGATAAGATTCATATTAGACCTTGGTCCTTTGAGTTTTATTCTGAAACTCTACTGGCAAAGTGTTAGAAGCTGGTTTTAGGTATACACAGCCCATCCCATCTATATTCAGGAAACCCTTACATACCCTAAGATGCTCTTTTAAATGCCATGTGACTTAATGAGGAAGAATGTACTTTTTTCTAAATGTCTGTGTAGATAGATAGAAAGGACTTCCTGTTAAAAGTATAATACCTATTTCAGGCTAAAGCCTTTGCATTCCAGTCTGGGGTGGCTACACAGTAGTATCTTGGATCAGGCCCAGCAGACAGGTGTTAGCTGTGGCCATTGCAACACTCATGTCTTAATGCAATGAACTGAATGGGCCCCTCCCAAACTTCATATGTTGAAATCCTAACCCCTAATGTGATGGTTTTAGTAGGGTAGGGATTTGGGGAAAAATTAGGTCATGAGGGTAGCACCCTCATGAATGGGATTAGTGTCCTTATAAAAGCGACCCTAGAGAGCTCTCTAGCCTCTTCATTGCCGCATGAGGATACAAGAAGTTTGCGATGCCACCATGATCAGTTCTGGTAAGGACCTTCTTTTGCAACCTGGGAGAGGGCCCTTACAAGAACTGATCGTGCTGGCATTGCAGACTTCCAGCCTCCAGACTGTGAGAAATAAGCTCTGTTGCTTATGCCAGCCAGTCTATGGCTGTTTGTACAGCATCCCAGATGGACTAAGATGTGTTTCTCTTTATGTTAATTGACGACCATTATGGCTTAAAGCTAAGACTAGCAGTATTTTCTTTAAAGGACTGGACAGCTAAAATTTCAAGCTGTGAGGCCATATAGTCTCTGCTGCAACTAGTTAACCCGTACTTGGCCATATAATCTCTGCTGCAAATAGTTAACCTGTGCTTGGCCATATAGTCTCTGCTGCAAATAGTTAACCTGTACTTGTGACATGAAAGCCGCCATAGACAATGCGTAAACAAATGGGTATAGGTGTGTTCCAATAGAATCTTATTCCTAGCCCCTGCCTTTTCTACTGTGTATGGATATGAGATGGGCACTCTGCCAATTTAACCTTACAAAATAGGGTAGTTCTACTTAACTTTCTCTCTCTCTTTTGCATTCCACTTATTTTCTATTTTTTAAAAAGAGAACTGAAGAGAACAGCTTCTTTTCTTCTTATATGGAAGAAGTATGCACACAACAGACACATGGACAGAGAATTAGGGGCAAAAATAAAACGCCCTTTTTACCTCTTTTAACCTCTGTAAGATTACCATATTTATATGCCTTTCTCTGAAGTGATTGGATTTCTTCAAAGGCAGCGCTACAAAAGGCCAGGTGGCTATGCTAATGGTCATCTGGGGAACTTTTATGAGAGCATATGTATATCTTACAAGTAATGATTTATTCTTAATACGGTTGTCCTTAGCTGGAAAAGTCTTTATAGGTCAGAGAACCTCATGAATGTTTAAAAAGCTGTTACCAATTTTTCTAATCTCGGTGGTGTTTCTTGATCTCCTTTGCCATGAAATCCTGGTATGTATATAAGGAACAGATGGAGTAGTTAATAGAATAATGATAACCAGAGTTTCTTTTACTGAAAAAAAAAATAAATAAACTAGTATTCGTCTCAGGACATAATTTAAGTGTATTTAAGTGTTTGATTACTAGGTTTTTCCAGGAATGTTTGTTGTGAGGATTTAAAAACATCTGAGTGGTTGAGTGAAATAGCTGTAGAAAATTTTTGGTCCTATGGGAGGGGGGCGGTTCTCATTATAATAGATATCGATGAGATTTTTGGACCTGTTGATGATTTATGATTGATGATACAGAACATTTAACCACACTGGTCTTTCTGATTTAAGGCACCAGACCTTTCCCATTTTCTTTCCCCATGTTTTGTCTGACAAGTTCTAAATTAGGTTTAATAATATTCAGATATTTAGAGTTGTTGACTTTATTTCGTTGAAGAACTGTGAGATTATTTTAAAGTAAGAAACAGTATGAAGAAAAATGTTTTTCTACATCAAGAAAATGTTACCTCAAATCATTGCATGTGTATCTGGCAATTAAAACTCTATCAGGTGTCCCCAAACTTTTTACACAGGGGACCAGTTCACTGTCCCTCAGACCATTGGAGGGCCACCACATACTGTGCTCCTCTCACTGACCACCAATGAAAGAGGTGCCCCTTCCTGAAGTGCGGCAGGGGGCTGGATAAATGGCCTCAGGGGGCTGCATGTGGCCCCCAAGCCGTAGTTTGGGGATGCCTGCTCTACATAAACATATAATTTCTATGTGGTGAGTGAATATTCAGAGACTGGGTTATTTTGGCTTTTAAATTAACTGAGCATTTTGGGGGGTGGATAGGTAGAAATGCTGCTTATATCTCACATAACAGAATGCCTTTCCACAGGGGTTTGAAAATGAAAATGAGCCATGTGGGAAATTACCCAATAGGCTTTTTGTGTTCCTGTAAAATAATTGGCACTTTCAGGGAACTGGGCGGTTTCTCTATACGGGGATCGCTGAAGCATCCCATAGTATTCAGTGATGTATCTAAAATATTCTGTTAGTGTTGCAGAGTGGTAGCTGCTTTCTTTTATTATATTAATTGTGTTTTCACTATTGTCCGTATACGAAAGATCTTTTTTTTTTTCATTATTTAAAAAAAAAAGATCTTTCGTATACGGACAAATAGTGAAAACACACTACCATGGTCTCCTTTACTCTCAAGATATGGAAGTTGCTGGTTGGGTGTTCCTCAACACAGCAATGGGAGCTGAATTTTTCTGATTCTATTGGATAAAGACCAGTTTGTGAATAACTGTTCATATTTAAAATTGCGTCTAGATCCAAATTAAGTTTTAAGCCATTGTGAAGATTTAAAGGGTGCTTGTCTCCTTCTCCTGTTTTAAATATCAATAATGTTAATATTTTGACATGGGAAACAGGTGAGAGAAGATATAAAAGTTGAGTTGTTGGTGGTATTTAGTAAATCCTCATTAATGTTTACTGCACTGGGGCAAGGCTTTTTAGAATTAGTGTCCAAAATCCTAAACAATTTTGTTTAATGTTTATTTAAATCATTTTTTTTAACTTTCATGGACAATCAGTAAAATAGAATCAAACTAGAAGAGTTTTATCATAATCACTAAGAGTAGACAAAAGATCTGGATAAATATTTCTCCAAGAAGATATATACATGGCTAATAAGCACATAAAAAGATGCTCTACATTATTAGTCATCAAAACCACAGTGAGATACCAGTTCATGCCCTAGGATGTTTGTAAATAAAAAGGCAAATAGTAGCAAGTGTTAGTGAGAATGTGGAGAAATTGGAACCCTCATACACTGCTTATAGGAATAGAAAGTGGTACAGCTACTTTGGAAAACATTCTGGCATAAACAGAATTGCCATGTGATGTAGCAGTTCCATTTCTAGGTATCTACTCAAAAGAAATGAAGGCATATGTCCACATAAAAACTTGCTCACAAATGCTTATAGCAGCATTATTCATAATACTTGAAAGGTAGAAATAATACAAATGTCTATCAGTTGACGCATAGATAAATCATACAGTGGAATATTATTTGCCCATAAAGAAGAATGAAGTACTGATAAATATAACAAAATTGATGAACCTGGAAAGCATACTAAGTGAAGTAAACTAGACACAAAATGCCACATATTATATGATTTAGTTTATATGAGTCATGCAAAATAGGCATATTTTGTAGAGACAGAAATTATTAGTGCTTACTTCGAGCTGGAGAAGAGTTGGGAGGGTGAGGATTGCTAGCTGAAGACTACAGATATCTTTTTGGGGACAATGAAAATGTCCAAAATTCATTGTGTGGTAATGATAGTGCAACTCTAAAATATACCAAAAACCATTGAGTTGTATACTTTAAATTAATAAATTGTATGGATGTCAATTATGTCTCAATAAAGCTGTTCTAAAAACATTAATAGACACAACTACTTTTCATGGCAAATATTTAATAAGCACATTAGGCTATCAGCTGAAAGTATTGTGTTTTGCCATTTGTTGTTTATATGAAAACAAAGTCTACTAGAATGCTGATTAACAGTTTCACTTTTAATCTTACCTATTAGGAAACATAAACAATACAGCAGTAAATTTTAAAGTAGCCTCAGGACCAACTATCAAAAATTCTGAAAATGAAATCTCAATTAATGAGATTCTGCCATTCAGTGTTCCTCTTTTGGCTGGATTGTATTTTTTTTTTCTGTAGCCTTACTAGGTCTCTAACTCAGGCATGTACTGCTGGACTGTGTGGGATCATATGGAGATCTGTGACAAAGATTGATAGTAAACGTTAGGAATCTTCATCAACAACCAAAACCACATTATTTAAATATTTGAAACATCACCTTCAAAGAACATAATAATGACAGGAAAGAAGAGAAAAAAATCTCAAAAAGACTATTTTACTTCTCTCTCTTTATGCTAGAATGAGATTGATAATCTTCTGTGGGGAAAAAAAAATCTCTTCCAAACAAATTCTCTAACTATTGGGCAGTTAAAGAAAATGTAAGAAATAAACTCAAACTGAAAAGATGGATGGGAATATCTTGCAAAAATGAACTTTTCTCTTTTATTGACCTTTATTAATGGGGTACCTAAGTTTGATACCTAAAACATTATTTAATGACCAGGTTGTCTCTTCTCTCTTGTTTTATCTATCTAGCAACCTTTTTTTTTTTTTTTTTGGTGGTGGGGGGACTGTAATCTCTGTAACTGTAATAAAATTACAGTTACAGAGAAATTGGCTGCATCTTAATGTTATTGTCTAAAGTATTCTGTGGTATCTGTATAAAACATTGGTCTGCCTCTCATTGTACAGAGCAATAAAACAATAAGGCTTTATCAGCTATCGTTTCCACCATTCTCTTGACTCAAGCCAGGAGGACTTGATGGAAAACTGTCCAAGTATTCAGTAGCCTAAGCTGAAAGAATCCACTCCGTATGTCAATAGCTCATTCCAGTCTCTTCTCCAGGACTTCTGACTACCCTCTGAATTAATATCTCCTTTCCTCATTAGCACTTAAGGGCTCATTCATGCCCAGTGCCATGGTAGGCACTGAGGATACGAGAGTGACAAGACAATCATTGCCCACCTTTGTGGCTCATTCTCCATTTGTCATCTTTTCTTATTGTGAGGATAATGTTATGCTTAAAATAATGTTATGCCTTACTCATTTGTCTTTTCTTAAAACAAAACAGGAAGTATAAAACAAAGAATAGTCCATAGCTGTGTTCTATAACCTTTTCCTTGTGCCTGTAGGCAGCTCTGGATATCAGGATTATTATCCGTATGGCAGCCCAGGTCACTCTGAAGAAGCACCCAGGAACTATGACGCATACACAGCAGGACTGAGTGAAGAAGAACAGCTTGAGAGAGCATTACGAGCCAGCCTCTGGGACCGAGGTAGGACTCTTGTGCCCTTCAGTTATTTTAAAGCATTCCTCATGTGATAAGGTAGTCTGAAAAAGGGCTATTTGTAGCAAGTTAAATTTTAAATAGTTCAGAAAAAGGATATGTAGATGAAAAATGTGTGCAGATTGTGATTACAAAGAATGGGGTGTGATGCTTGCCATGTTACCAGGAACCTGAGCTAATAAGGTGCCAGACTGTGTATGTATTGTTAAAGTGATTCTTTTTATAGGCCTGCTGCTCTTCGGTGCCTCGGCATTAAAATCAAAAAACTTAAAATTCTTAGGTGCATAAAGAAAAGAGAGAATTACTTTGGAATTCATATTTGTAAAGAAAGTTCAGTGTCTCTTGAGTATCAAAATATTGCCCATCAACTTCCCGCAGATCTCCCTCAACATCACATGGGCTCAGAATTCAGGCTCAGGTTTGACTTCTGCTGAACCAATCTGTCTGGGGGTAGAGCCTAGAAATTTATATTTTGAATAGGCTTTCCAGGAGATTTTTTAACAAACTGATATCTGAAAAAAAACCACTGTATTATTCTGCCATCTTTGTTCTAGATTTGGATTATAAGTTTGGGTATTACTATTTTTATTGTTTGAGTAGTGACTAAAAGTCGTCTATTCATTTAAAGGGCATTTATCAACGTCTTCTGTTTCGCGTATGATGACAGGGACAATAGGGAACATTGAGTGGTAAAAGATGGAACCTACCCTCAAAAAGTTAACAATCTGTGTTTGGGCCTATGCCTACTAGATGTGATACCACACAGGTAACCCTAATATCAGGTGACTAAGAGAGGCTTAGGCTAGGTGTTAGGGGTAGGGAGGAGATGGTGAGCTTTTTCTACCTAGAACTATCAGATTTTCACAGAGGAGATAGCATTTGAGTTGGACCTTTGAGAATGCAAAGAACTTAAAGAGCTATGGACAGACTCTCTGCAGAAGTCTGATTATCAGCACTGACACAGAAGTGAGGGTCATGTTTGCTAGCCCTCACTTTTAAATGGACAATAAGCGAAGAAAGGGAAGAAGAGTGGGAAGCTAGGCTGGGGCCGGATCACAGGGGTCCTAGAATTAAATAAGCCAAGTGGAAAGCGGATTTAGTATGTCGTATAAATGCCAATAGAGCTCTGCGTGGGAGACTGATGTGGTCAGAGCTGTGTTATAAGAATCTGATAGTATAGCAGGCATTCTGCAAACAAGATTGAGCACCAGTCGGGTACCAAGCATTATGCTAGTTGATGAGAGTACATAAATTATGACAATATAGTTTCTGACTTTAAGGAATGCAGTCTTAGCAGCAACAGCGTGCATGGAGGTGGGGAATGACAATAAGCAGGGAGACAAGTTGGAAGATTATATTGCAGTAGCCTGAACACGAAAGGAAAGCCTAAATTATGAAGGTGGCAGGGGAAGCGGAGAGGAAGGCATAAATCTGTATTTCTCAGGTGAAAAGTTACAGAACTGTGATAATATATCAGTAATCTTTCACTGTGTAAAGAGTCACCCTGAAACTCGTGGATTAAAACAGTAAACAGTGGTTTGCTGGGGGCTGGCTGCTCTAGGGTGGCTTCTTCTGCATGTCTGCCTGACTGTTTGTTGGTGGTGTTACTCCACACCTCAGCCCATTCCTCATCCAGCAGGGTAGCCTGGGCTTATCCACCAGGCTGCAGCATAAGGTTTACAGGAGAGTGCAGAAATAAACAAGGCTTATGCTGGTACAATGTCAGTTCCACTGTATTCTGTATACTGATACCAAAGCAGGTAACAAAACCAGCTCAGATTCATGGGATAGGTAGATAGTTTCTACCTCTTGGAGGAACAGCAAAGTCACATGTGATGGTTTTGGATAGAGGGAGAGGTGGAGAATTGTAGCCATTTTTGTAATCATTGTATCACATGTAGTCAGTGGACTGCCAGTAGCACAATCATTCAAAAGCCTAACTTAGCCATGGAATCCTGAAATCTGGAGAAAAGGCCCCAGAGCCTGTATTTTTAACAGATTCTCATGGTTATTCTTGTGCACAGAGGGGTTTAATCACCACTGGGCTATCCATGAACAATTAGGGGACAAGTAAGGCAAGGCAGACTTCTCAGCATGGACTTTGCACAGTCCATCTCTGTCCCCATCTAGGCTGACTTCAAATAAAATCCCAAGACACAGCATGATGGGAAAGATTGGGATTTATACTTGGGTGACGTCATCTGATTAGTACCTTCTGTTAAGAAAACATGTATTCTAAAGTAAGAAGCCTTCAAAAATAATTAAAGAGTGCTGAAAACTCAGAGGGAAAAATTAGGTAGCCCAAGTGAGAATACTTGAATGTGAGACATAGAAAACCTCCTGTGTTAAATGTAGTCAGAGAAAGGAAATACAAGAAGACAAGCATACTTTTTGTAGTTTTATTTCTAAAGGTTTGCTATATGCCCCAATTAGTAATTATACAGGAAGTTAGTACTAATAGTGCAGGTGTCTTTTTTAGAAAGAGAAAGAAAATAATGATTTTCTTCAGTAATGAGACATAAGCATGGACGATCTGTAGATGAAAGCATCCTCTGATGGCCCTGGTGATTTTGGAGCAATTTTGGAGACTTGAATCCAGCTACAATGGAAGGGTCTTACATTTTGGGAGTCAGAAGGAAGTTGGAATAGATTTTTGAGGCCATTTCCTTAATAAAAAATATGTTTATTATTAAGTTAATATGTCATTAATATTAATTTTTTCTGCTTAACAATAAATGGTATTTAAATATTTACTAACAGGCAAAAAAAAAAAAAAGACACAGGGTACCTTGAGAGATTTCAGAAAGTCATCTGATAGTAGTGTTGATTTTTCATAAATTTAAATCTTATTCTTAAAAAAACTTCTTGCAAAAATAACTCTCAAGAGAGTATACTAAACAGAAATCGAAACAACTTAAAATTTTTTACTACCCCATTTTAAATTATTTTTATGTTTTTTCATCTTATCCTTAAAACATTTCAGTGAAGTTAAGAAATGAATCATTTTTACTTAAAAGGTTTTTACACATCAGATGCTGTAAGACTTGCTTGGTGAGAAGATTATTTCTGGGATGATTTTGAAGCCAAGGGTTTTGTTTCTACCTCTGTCTAACTACTTGCTTGGTCTGAAATCTAGCTGCTTCTTTGTGAGTATGGAGTTAAGTTCTAAAACTCCTCACAGTATAAGATTGCTAGGACTAAATGATCCAGAGTTTGTGCTGAATTATTTCTGCTACCTGACCTTTTATTTTAACAAAATCATAGATTGTGTGCCTCCTTTTTTCTTCATCCTACACATGTATTTTCAGAATTTAAAGCATTATCTTATTTCCATTCATGAAAAATCACAAAAGTATATAGAACTTGTTTCTCTCTCGAATGGCCACTTGGTACATCTGAAACAGAGTGGCCTTGTTTAGCATTTTGAATTACAGTGAAATAAATAAATAAATAATTTTGAAAAGAAAAGAAATCATAAAAGCGAATAGTTAATTGATGATTTTTGAATACAGGACTTTCTAAACAGAAAAGTATGGAAAAAATTATGAAAGATAGACCAATAAAATCTTTAACAAGGAATTATTATAATCAGTATGTAAAGAACTCATCATATAATGAAATCATTAATACTAACTCCTATTAGAAAAATGGAAAATAAATTTAACATATAATCCAAAGACTTATAAGTGACCCGTATGCATCTAAAAAATAATGTGCTCTATACTAGCAGAGAGTTACTTAGTTTCTTCATCTCACCACATTTATATTTTATTTTTATTTTAAATTTTTGTGGGTACATAGCAGGTGTATATATTTGTAGAGTACATGAGAACTTTGATACAGGCATGTAATGTGTAATACTTACATTAGGGTAAATGGGGTATCCATCACCTCAAGCATTTGTCCTTTCTTTGTATTACAAACAATCCAGTTCTATTCTTAGTTATTTTTAAATGCACAAAAATTATTCTTGACTGTAGTCACCTTGTTATGCTATTAAAAACTACATCTCACTCATTCTATCTAATTATTTTTTGTGCCCATTAACCATCTTCATTTCCTCTCATCCTCCACCCCAGTGTCTGGTAACCATCATTCCACTCTCTGTCTCCATGAGTTTGTTTTAATAGCTCCCACAAATAAATGAGAACATGCAAAGTTTGTCTTTCTGTGTCTGGTATATTTCACTTAACATGGTGACCTCCACTTCCATCCATGTTGTTGCAAATGACAGGATCTCATTTTTTTTTTTATGGTTGAATAGTATTCTATTCTATATAAGTACCACATTTTCTTTATCCATTCGTCTGTTGTTGGATACTTAGATTGCTCTCAAATCTTGGCTACCATGAATAGTGAGTGCCACAGTAAACATGGGAATATAGATATCTCTTTGATATAATGATTTTCCTTCTTTCGGGCATATACTTAGCAGTGGGATTGCTGGATTATATGGTAGCTCTGTATTTACTTTTCTGTGGAACCTCCAAACTCTTCTCCATAGTGGTTGTACTAATTTACATTCACACCAAAAGTGTACGACGGTTCCCTTTTCTCCATATCCTCGCCAGCATTTGTTATTGCCTGTCTCTTGGATAAAAGCCATTTTAAACTGGGGTGAGATGATGTCTCATTGTAGTTTTGATTTGCATTTCTCTGAGGATTAATGATATTGAGAACCTTTTCATATGCCTTTTTGCCATTTGTATGAGAAATGTCAAATTTAAGAAATGTCTATTTGGATCTTTTACACAGTTTAAAATTAGACTATTAGATTTTATCCTATATATAAGCAGCTGTTTGAACTCCTTATGTATTCTGGTTATTAATATCTTGTCACATGGATAGTTTGCACATATTTTCTCCCATTCTGTGAGTTGTCTCTTTGTTGTTTTCTTTCCTAGAAAGTAAGTTTTTAACATGATGTGATCCCATTTGCTGATTTTTGCTTTTTTACCTGAGCTTTGTTATTTCTGTGAAGAATGTCATTGGTATTTTGATAGGGATTACATTGAATCTGTATTTCTTTGAATGTTATGGACATTTTAACAATATTGATTCTTCCAATCCATGAACATGGAATATCCACTTTTTGTGGCTGCTTCAATTTTTTCATCAATATTTTATAGTTTTCATTGTAGAGATCTTTGACTTCTTTGATTAAGTTAATTCCTGGGTATTTTATTTGTAACTATTTTAAGTGGCATTACTTTCCTGGTTTCTTTTTCAGATTGTTCACTGTTAGCATATTGAAATGCTATTGATTTTTGTATGTTAATTTTTTATACTGCAACTTTCCTGATTTTTATTTATCAATTCTAATAGATTTTTGAAAACATCTTTAGGGATTTTTCCAAATACAAGATCATACCACCTTCAAACAAAGATAATTTGTCTTCTTCTTTTCCAGTTTGGATGCCCTTTATTTATTTGTCTTGTCTGATTGCTCTAGCTAGGACTTTCAGTACTATGTTGAATAACAGTGGTGAAAGTGGGCGTCTTTGTTGTGTTCCAGATCTTAGAGGAAAGGCTTTCAGTTTTTCCCCTTTTAACATGGATACTAGCTGTGGGTCTGTTATATATGGCTTTTATTGTATTGAGGTATATTCCCTCTATACTCAGTTTTTTGAGGGGTTTTTTTGTCATAAAGGATGTTGAATTTTATCAAGTGCTTTTTCAGCATCAGTTGAAATGACCATATGGTTTTTGTCCTTTATTCTGTTGATATGATGTCTCACATTGATTAATTTGCATATGTTGCATCCTTGAATCATTAGGATAAATCCCAAATGGTCATGATGAATGATATTTTTAATTTGTCATTGAATTCAGTTTGCTAGTATCTTTGCATCAATGTTCATCAGCGTTATTGGCCTGTAGTTTTCTTTGGAGTCTTTGTCTGGTTTTGGTATCAGGATAATACTGGACTCATAGAATTAGTGTGGAAGTATTCCCTCTGCCTCTGTTTTTCAAAATAGGTTGTGTTGGATTGGTATTTATTCCTTTTTAAATGTTTGGTAAAATTTAGTAGTGAAGCCATTGGGTCCTGGGCTTTTCTTTGCTGGGAAACTTTATTACAGCACCAATCTCATTACTTTTTATTGGTTTGTTCAGGTTTTGAATTTCTTCATAGTTTAATCTTTGTAAGTTGTATGTGTCTAAGAATTTACTCATTTCTTCTAGGTTTTCCAATTTATTGGCATACAGTTGCTTATAGTAGGCTTTAATGATCCTCTGAATTTCTGCAGAATAAGTTTTAATGTCTACTTTTAATGTCTTATTTTCATTTAGGTCTTCTCTCTTTTTTTCTTAGCCTGGCTAAAGGTGTGTTGATTTTGTGTATGTTTTCAAAAAAACAACTTTTGTTTCATTAATCTTTTGTAGTTTTTTATTTCATTTAGTTCTACTCTTATCTTTCTTTTCTTCTACTAATTTTTTGTTTTGTTTGCTCTTGCTTTTCTAGTTGTTTAAGATAAATCATTAAGTTATTTGAAGTTTTTCTATCTTTTTGATACAGGAGCTTATCCCTATAAACTTTCCTCTTAGTACTGCTTTCACTGCATCCCATAGGTTTCAATATGTTCTGTTTCTATTACTTGTTTCAAGAAACTTTGAATTTCCTTCTTAATTTCCTCATTAACCCACTGGTTATTTAGGAACATGTTGTTCAATTTCCATGCATTCGTATAGTTTCCAAAATTCCTCTTTTTAGTGATTTCTAATCTTACTCCATTGTGGTGAGAGATGATACTTGATTTAATTTCAGTTTTTCTGAACTTTTTAAAAGACTTTTTTGTGGCCTAACATATGGTTTATGCTTGAGAATGATTCATATGCAGAGGAAAAAAATGTGTGTTTTGCAGCTGCTGGATGAAATTTTCTGTAAATATCTATTAGGTCCATTTGTCTATAGTGCAGATTACTTTTTTTGTTGTTGAGTATCTGTCTGGATCACTTGTCCATTGCTGAAAGTGGATTGTTGAAGTCTCCAGCTATTGTTGTGTTGGGATTGATTTCTCTCCAGCTGTTATTGTATTGAGATCAATCTCTCTCTTAAGCACTAATAATATTTGCTTTATATATCTGGGTGCTCCAGTTTTAGATGCATATATATTTACAATTAATATATCCTCTTCCTGAATTGACTGACCCCTTTATCATTATATAATTACCTTTTTTGTCTCTTTTTATAGTTTTGTCTTCAAATCTGTTTTGTCTGATATAACCGTAGCTACTCCTGTTCTTTCCTGGTTTCCATTGGAATGAAATATCTTTGTTTCTTTATTTTCAGTCTATATGTATTTTCATTCTCTATAGGTGAAGTGTGTTTCTTATAGGCAACAGATCATTGGATCTTGTTTTTTATTTATTTATTTATTATATATTTTATACAAAAATACGAAACACTTCATGAATTTGCATGTCATTCTTGCGCAGGGGCCATGCTAATCTTCTCTGTATCGTTCCAATTTTGGTATATGTGCTGCCGAAATGAGCACTGGACCTTGTTTTTTTTGTTTTGTTTTGTTTTGTTTTGTTTTGTTTTGTTTTGTTTTTTGAGACGGAGTTTCGCCCTTGTTACCCAGGCTGGAGTGCAATGGCGTGATCTCGGCTCACCGCAACCTCCGCCTCCTGGGCTCAGGCAATTCTCCTGCCTCAGCCTCCTGAGTAGCTGGGATTACAGGCACACGCCACCATGCCCAGCTAATTTTTTGCACTTTTAGTAGAGACGGGGTTTCACCATGTTGACCAGGATGGTCTCGATCTCTCGACCTCGTGATCCACCCGCCTCGGCCTCCCAAAGTGCTGGGATTACATGGACCTTGTTTTTTAATCTATTCAGCCACTCTGTGCCATTTAGTCTTTTTTCATTTAATGCTATTATTGATTAGTAAGGATTACTCCAATCATTTTGTTATTTGTTTTCTGGTGGTTTTGTGCTTTTCCCTTTCCTCTTCCCTTCCTTCCTGTCTTCCTTTTAGTGAGTGATGTTCTCTGGAGGTGTGTTTTAATTTCTTGCTTTTTATTTTTTGTGTATCTGTTATATACTTTTTGATTTCTGATTACCATGAGGCTTGAAATTAATATGACCTATTATTTTGAACTGATAACAAGTTAACACTGATTGCCTAAACAAACAAGCTAGCAAGCAAAGATAAAGTAAATAAAAACTCTGGACTTTAACTTTGTCCCCCTGGGTTTTAGCTTTTGTGGTTTCTACTTATATTTTCTCATACTGTTATATTTAATTAAACTTTGTCCCCCTGGTTTTTAGCTTTTATAATAAAATATAAGTAGAAACAACAAAAGCTAAAACTTAAAGTCTTAAAACTTAAAAGCTTAAAGTTTTAGCTTTTGTTGTTTCTACTTATATTTTATTATACTGTTTATGTTTGAAAAATTGTTGTTATTATGTTTGATTGGTTCATCTTTTAGTCTTTCTACTCAATATATGAATAGTTTACACACCACAATTACAGTGTGTTTTTTAATTCTGTTTTTCTGTGTGGTTCCTATTACCAGTGAGTTTTGCACCTAAATAACAATTATTTTTTATTGCTTATTAACATCCTTTTCTTTCATATTGAAGAACTCCCTTTAGCATTTCTTGTAGGACATGTCTGGCATTGATGAAATCTCTCAGCTTTTCTTGGGAAATTATTTATCATTCATGTTTGAAGGACATTTTCGTGGGATATACTATTCTAGGATAAAAGGGTTTTTTCCCTTCTGCGCTTTAAATGTATCATGCCGTTTTCTCCTTGCCTGAAAGGTTTCCGCTGAAGTCTTCTGTCAGAACTATTGGAACTCCATTGTATTTTATTTGTTTCTTTTCTCTTGCTGTTTTTAGGATTCCTTCTTTTTCCTTGACCTTTGGGAGTTTGATTATTAAATGTCTTGAAGTAGTCTTATTTGGGTCAAATCTGTTTGGTATTCTGTAACTATCTTATACTTGAATATTGACATCTTTCTCTAGGTTTGGCAAGTTGTTATTATGTTTTGAATAAACTTTCTACCTCTGTCTCTCTGTCCCCCTACATCCTTTTTAAGGCCAATAACACTTTGATTTGTACCTTTAGGGCTGTTTTCTAGATATTGAAGGTGTGCTTCATTCTTTTTTATTATTTTTTCTTTTGTCTCCTCTCACCTTGTAGTTTCAAAGAGCCTGTCTTTAGGGTCACTAATTCTTTCTTCTACTTGATCAATTGTGATGCATTCTTCAGTATGTTGATTACATTTTTCAACTCCAGAATTTCTTCTTGATTTGTTTTAATGATTTCAGTCTCTTTGTCAAATATATCTGATAGGAGTTTCTCTCTTCAGGGAAGTGGAGTCTCCTCTGGTCCAGGACAGGTCCAGAAATTATTTTCAAGAGCCAAAGCCTAGAATCAGGTACCCCAAGAGCCTGCTTGATGCTGTGCCCTGCTGTGGCCAAGCTGGTACCTAAGCTGCAAGACAAAGTTCCCTTTACTTTCCTCACTTCTTTCCTTAAGCAGAAGGAGTCTCTCCCTATAGCTACCATATTGGGAATGTGCTTGAGTCACACCCAAAGCAAGTGTGTCTCTGAGTCTCACCCAGATACCACTGGGTGGTACCCAGAGCCCTTTAGTCAGCAGGTGATGAGTCCTGCTAGGAGTGAGTCTTTTTCTTCAAGGAAAAAGGTTTTCTTCTGGCCCAGGAAGTGTCTAGAAATGATGCCTGATAGCTAGAGCCTGGGGTAGGGGCCTCAGGACCCTGCTCGGTACCCTATCCTACTGTGGCTGAGCTGGTATCCAAGTTGCAAAACAAATTTTTCTTTACTCTTCCATTTCCTCTCCTAAAACACTGGGAAGGAGTCTCTTTCAGAGCTGCAATTTGGCTGTCCCAGCTGATATCTCACTGGAAGGCATGCTCCCCAAGTCCACTGACTCTGAGCCCAGCACAGCACCAGAACTTACCCAAGGATTGCAGTCTTTGTGGCTCAGACTACCTTTCAAATTTATTTAGGACCCCAGAGCACTTTTGCCCATGGTGTCACGGTGTGATGGAACTCAGGTTCTGACCATTGGGATGGGCAGTTCCTGTCTGGCTTAGACTGGTCTAAATGCTCACTCCCTGGGTGCTGGCTGAGTTCTGTCCAGTATTGCGTTCTGGCAGTGCTGAGTTACAGGGGATGTCCACAATCACTGTGCTGTCCCTTTCCCAAGTGCACAGATTCTCTCTCTGTGCTACCAGGGGATGGATGAGGAGTGGCACTGGCAATTCAAGACTGTCTTTCCTTCTCTCTTCAGTGCCTCTTTCAGTGATGTGAAGTTAAAACCAGATACTGTGATCACTCACATTATCTTTGGTTCTTATGAAGGTGATTTTTTTCTGCAGATACTTCTTCAGTTTGGTGTTCCTAAGGGGAGGATGATCTGTAAAGGTTTCTATTTGGCCATCTTGCTCTACCCCTCTCCATCTCACCATATTTAATGTTAGTAGTGATAACAGGCATTTCTATATGCTGCTGATATGAATGTAGATTGGCGTAACTTTTCTGGAAAACACACTGGAAATGTATAATCAAGAGGCTTGTCTTCAATGATTCCTTGACTAAGAATCCAGACTGAGAAAATAATAGAGATTTGGTCTAATATTTTCCTATAAGTTACTTATTCCCTAATTAAATTTAATAACAAAAACTTAAATACATTGAAATTTGCATAGCAGTGTGTGCAAGGGTTAAATCAGTTATGGTTTCATTGTAAAATGGAAATATTTGGCATCTATTAAAAATAACATTTTGGAAAAATTTAGTGGCATAAAAATAGGATTACCGTGTAATTGCTGGATGGAGAAAAAGTAAGGTGCAAAATGGTATGTACCATATGGCCAGAATATTATAAAGTAAGCCAACTCAAACCAAATACTTTTCCATAAGAAAAAATAATGAAAGGGCCTTTTAGCAAATGTCTTCTTGGTGTCTTACACTTAGTAAGACAATTACAAAGGTTTCAGAGGAAAATAAAATTCAAATTAATATAAATTTGTATAAAGCTGTTCCTTTGCCATTGTCAGTTACTGTATAATGCACTTCAAAAGTCTTTTTAGATCTGTTTCCTTGAAACTAGTTTCATATGCTATTCAAACGTTCATTCAAAATAAAATTTTGTGGTCAAATAAGCTTGGAATATATGAAGTAATTGGTTTCTTCATTGTGGAACTAATTAGATACCAGTGTAGTTGTGGATATTCAAGGAGATATGGTTTGAAGTATTTCCCACATTTTGAGAGGGGAAAGGGAAGAGGGGGAGATGGAGAGAGAGAAGAATACACAAGCTAGAATTGTTTGGGCTGAACCCTCTGGCATTAGGTTGAAGACATCCTCTTACTTTGTCTCTAAATCCTTCAATGTGTAACTTTTAAAAATAAGGGCCATTCTGCTACTTATCTACAACATCATGGTCACATCAAAGAAAAATGGCAGAAATTCCCTAATAACATCTAAAATTTAGTCCAAATACTAAATTTTCCAATTTTCTTGAAGAGTATCTTTAATAAGTCAGGTTTTCAAGGTTCTGATGTTGCATTTGATTATTTCTTTTTAATATAAAACCATACCCTGCCCTTTTAATAATTTAATTTTTCAGGACACCAGTCTCATTGAATGATAAGTATCTGACTATTTCTTTCATGGCATATTTAAATAGTTCTCTGCATTGCTGTATATTAGGCACTTACATTTGAGAACTTGATTAATTGGATTTGGATTACACATTTTTAGCAAGAAAATGTAATAGGTAATGCTGTGTTTTTGAGGTCACATCAGGTCAGGAGATACACAGCACTGAGCCATCCCACCAGTACTGCTAAACTTGGTTACTAGTTTCAGAAGGTGACTGCACATTTCTCTATTGCAAAGGTTCATTTTCCCCTTTCTCTTTATACATGCCACATGAGGTGATACTATGTCACCGTATGAATATCCTGTTTCCTAAAAATTACTTGATAACCTTTCAAGTAATGGTTTTTGTAGTCCTTGTTGATTTTTACGAGACTATCAGTTATTTCTTTGGGTTCCTTGTTAATTTTTTATTTCTTTAAAATTTATTTATAGTAAAATTTACTCCTTGTGGTGTACAGTTATGTAAGCTTTGACAGAAGCATAGAGTTGTTTATAATAACAATCTAGATACAGCATACTTGTATCACTCCAGAAAATTACCCATCACTCCCACTCTGTAGTCAACCTCCCTGACCTTTGATCATAAACAAGCACTGTTCTCTTTTCCACTCCATAACTTTGCTTTTTCTAGCATGTCATATAGTTTGTGGGAATTATATGACAAATTATATATGTCATATAATTCGTGTGAATTTGTGTGAATGTAAGTTTTCATGTTGCCTAGGTAAGTACCTAGGAGTAGGGTATCTGGATTATGTGTGGTGAATTTATGTTTTATAAGAATCTGCCTGTTTTCCAAAGTGTTTGTACCAGTTTTCATTCCTGCCAGCAGTATATGAGAGTTCCAGTTGCTCTAGGTCCTCCCAGCATTTGGTATTTTCAGTTGTTTTTATCTTAGCAATTCTAATAGGTGTCAGGTTGTGTTTTAGTTTATATTTCCTTAATGACTAATGATGTTTCTTTCTGTTTATTGGCTACCTATATATCTTCTTTGCTGAAGTTTCTGTTCCATTATTTTGTCTACTTTTAATTGGATTGTTTGTTTTTTTATCATTGAGTTTTGGGAATTCTTTATA